CACTCTAGACAACCTCAGTCTCCCAAGTATGTAGAGTCTGCTGTGGTCTTTCCTGTGAAGTGCACTAAGATTATCTAACTAGTCCAGTGTATTGTTGAGGTGAGACCCAGGTACAGTGTTTGTAGCATTAGCTGTGTTCTAATCTATGCCCTGTTCACTATATAGTGCACATTTTTGGGGTTCCACCATTTTGTAGTGGTGTCTGAAAACAGTGCAGAAGATCCAGTGCACTCAAACAGTCTCACATCGCACTGCAATAAGTAGTGTACAACTGATGTACCCTGGTGGATCGAGGACGCCCATAGGGCACTGCGTTGGTTAGATGCTGCCTTCAGGTCGTCCTCGGAAGTTCCTACCTACGACTTCGGAGGTCGAAAGTACAGCTTGATTTGTGTACAAGTGGTTTTGGTTGGAAATGAGACAGATACACTGTTTTTCCGTCATTAAAGAGAGTCAGAGTATTTTGCGTTACTGCAACAAGGTGAAGAGCAGAAGATGCTTATGAGAAGAGTAATGTTATTATGCAGTTCAATGTGTCACATAACGTTTTTATCTCTGTATTTTCATGTGTGGATGGTTTTAGCCTGCAGTGTTAAGGTTGAGGCTGATGAATAACTGAAATACAGCCAGTTTATCAGTGGTTATCGTTGCTTTTTTTGTTGACGTGCCCCCAACCCGGAAACACGGGGCTCATTAGTGCGTTTACATGCACTCAATGATCCCGATCATAGTCGGATTTCTGCAGTTATCTGATTATTCAAACAGTCATGTAAACAGCACGCTTTGATTTCTTGGATCGGAGTAAGGTCTAGAAATCCGATTAAGAAATCTGATAAAGAGGCTGGATTTTAGCTCAGTAATCAGATTTCTCAGTGCGTGTGAACTCTTACTCTGATTTCTTTCGGATTTCTCAGTCTGAGCATGTGCGAAATCAGACGGCGGTACCAGAAAAAAGTGAGCAGTGTTGCCGCGAGACGCAGCAAAACACTTTTGGAGCGACGCTGAAACCAAATACATGCTTGACAAAATGAAGGATTTAAAAATTCTTCATCTTCTATATGATGTATGTTCATATTTTCAGGTAAATTGGTGCGATGTTTAAAAAAAAAAAAAAAAGCTGGGTTAGAATTTTACATTATGTTTGCGTCACGTCTTCTTCTGTGAGTTTATTGGCTGGTTGCAAAGCAGATATCTGATTACTGCCTGACTCATGTAGATCCGGAGTTTCCCCATTATCTGATTACTCAAGTGCATGTAAACACGTTGATTGGATTACTGATAAAATCTGATTTTCTGCAGTTACCGGATTTTTAAGTGCATATAAACACATGCGAGTTTACAGTGTCAGCTAAAGGAGTATAAAGCTCCCCGGGAGTTGGGCTGTGGAGCAGAGGGACTGTTCTCTCAAATGATGGAGCTCAAATGTAAACATCTGTCTGATACTCATATTGTTTATTATTTATCTGCGAATACTGATATAATTTCCATATTGCATCCCTAAATAAAAGCATTGGTCCAACAGCTGTTTGAAAAATATTGTTCACTGTCCTGAAGAGAGAGCGTGTGTACATGAATTAAAATCTCTATAGAAAAGCGTCCCATTCTATCAATCAAATCCTCACAACAATGTTCCAGTATCTAGTGTAAAGCCTTCCCAGAAGAGTAGAGGCTGTTACTGCAGCACAGGGGGACAAACTCCCTATTAAGACCCTTCATTTCAGAAGAAACATTGGATGAGCAGGTGTCTACAAACTTTTGGACACGTAACGTATTTACAGCACTAATTAAACCTCTCATTTCACAGGATATGAACGTCCAGAAGGCCTGCGATGATGAGGTTTCCAACCAGGAAGAGGATGAATTACAAGAAGAGAGAAAGTTCAAAGTCATGACGGACGAAAGATTCCACTGAAAGGACCAGGGAGGAAGAAATAAGATGAGGAGGAGGTCCGGTACGAGCAGGAAACTGCCCCCAAGAGTGAGGCTTCTTGGGTACTAAACCAGAAAGGCCACAACCCTCTGTAACCTCCAGCCTTTCACAGACTTTTTTCGGCTTCTTGGTCCATAAATTTCATGTTCTGACAGATGTGTTTGTACATTGTTCTGGACATCTCTACTCTGGGATGCGTGTGGTTGAGAGTGAGCAGCTTTTTATGTATCTATGCTGCTGACAAGTATAGGAGAATTCTTTTTCTGTCAAGGGGGTCCAGCTTTATCCACAAAGGGTCGAAGTGGCTGCAGGTTTTTACTGAAACGAGGCTGGAGCTCACCTGATTCCACTAATCAGTCAATTAACCTCTTACTCACCAGGGTATATTTTGGTTTGTCCAACTGAATTTATGACCAAATCATAAGGCAAATTTTTCAGTAACTGCATGAAATAAATGTAAATTTTTATTTTTTTTACCCCTAAAATTAACAGAACGTGTTTTATGATCACACATATTGCTATATACTCACAATTTACTGCTGAAAGCCAAAAATCTTAGACGCTCTTTGTATTATTTTTACAGAGCAGATCACTGAAGAGACGCCATCTGTTTATAGTTTATAGCCCAGATTTGTGGAAAAATGGGTCGACTTTCAGTAGCCAAAAAAATGAGTTCAGCTTCTTTTATTATAAGGGTTTAAAATTACATCACCCATCTATTTGACTGGAAAGAAGACAGTTACAGCTCTCATACGACCCCCACCTTCTGAATGAAGCTTATGAAATAAGAAAGTTATGAAGAATATGACGAAGTGCATTTTGGAACCACCGGTGGTCCCAAGGAGTTGAAAAGGTTAAGCATGTGGAATCAGCTGATCTTCTGCTTTGTTGGAATGAAAACCTGCAGCCACACCAACCCTTTGTGGATAAAACTGGGCCCCCCTTGTGTGTTTTGGTCAGTGGAGCTGATTAAAAATGATTGTTATTGTGAAAAAGTTAATTTAAGATTTTTTTTTTCAATCAAACTGTCTCAGAATTGATTTTAGCTTCTGTTGTGAGTTTTTTCTGAGTGTTTCTTTAGGTCACCTCGCAGTATTCAGCAGAGCAAAAGTGCCTAAGTTGTTACGTGTTGAGAAAATGTAGTAATGTTAGTTGTGAATGAGAGGATGTGGGAGTTTTTTTGTTTTGTTTTGTTTTTTAAATATGAACAGATCTGAACTTTTCTCACATGAAATTTATCTTGAAGGATGTTTTTAAATAAGCTTAGTAGTTTAGTCCAGAGTGGACTGAAGCAGAGCAGCCACACCACCGTCACTGTGGTCTCCAGCACCTCACAGACTTGAGGAGAACTCCTTTATTCATGTCTCACGAATGACCAGTCCAAATTCAACCTGTTATCCAGGAGATCTTTACTCTGAGGTGCCTGTGGTTGTTTTAGAATGGACAGTTTTTTCTGTACGTGTTGTCCTAATTGTGCACTTCTGCCTATGTTTTTTGTTGGCTAAGCTGATTAAAAATGGTTGTTATACTTGCTATTGTGAAACAATTCAGTCACCTTCACGAATCATTTTTATTAAAAGATACAGAAGATACTGTAAAATATTCATTTCCAGTCAAAATGGCTGGTAAGTACAAGTTATTCATTCTTCAGTGTCAAAAGCAACAATACTGAACAGAAAATTCCCCAAAAAATCAAACCCATCAGGAATTCATTTGTCCACTCTTTCCTTTTGTGCACTCTACTGCCACTTTGACTCTCCTATCCTTGCTGTCCAAACTGTTACAGCTGTGTTCCCCTTCAAAGAGAGACTAATATTCACACAAACAACTACCCAAACTCACCTTAGCTGCCTTCAGGTTTATTCCACATGAGCATCTAAAGTGGCTGAGAGATATTTGCTCAGGAATTAGATTTAAAAAAGTCCACTTGCAGGAGGAAAGAGAAAGTCAAAGGAAATGAAGTGTAAAAATGCCCGTTTCTGAAATCTACAGAGAAAATGGGGCTCCTAACAACTACCTGGAAGACCTGATAGACACCAAAACTGCCCCCATCAGATAAACAGCACTTAAAGCTTTCATCACTGATAGAGAGGAGAAAATCAAGCTTCGCTCTTGCTTCAGAAAAACAGACAAAAAAGAACGTTCGCCCTAAAACAGCGTTTCTCAACCGCTGGGCCGAGGACCAGAAGCGGGCTGCGAAGCACCCTGGTGGTCCTTGGACCTATACTGAGGGTAGCCAGTGGTCCATAGTGGGCCTGTGTTGGCACTTAGTCATAAAAATTGACAATAAAAAAGAAATAAATGTTGTCAGACAGTTAACAACATTAATACAAGCCCCACAGTAACAGTGCACCTTTCAGTCCATTCGCACAGATATTCTGCTGATATTTAATGTTCAATTGATGCACATCACATATTGCCGGAGTAGCCCCCACATATGTTCACATTGATGCTGTGTTAAAATTTCCCAAAATGACATTTTTAAGCAAAAACCTTGGGTTTTGTTATCTTGTGGGTCTTCCTGCTTTCTAGTGATAAACAGGTGGGACTCGGAGGTGGAAAAGCTTGAGAACCCCTGCCCAAGGACACCAAAACTAGACATCTGAGATGTGGAGTAACATCTTATGGACTGATCTAAATACTTATATTGTTACATACAGAAAATGCAACCAACTTCTAACACTGAACTTTGGAGGTGTGGAAAATATCCATGCAGAATCTTTTGAAAAACTACAAGCAAACCCTCCTCCTTCTTGTCTTTTAGGTACTTTTCTATTAAATATTTTTAAAAATTTTTAATTTTAAAATATAAAAATATAACTTCTGTTTTTTCCCCCCAAACACTAAAAATAACGTATTTAATGGCCGTTTTGACTGGAAAACTGACTTTTGCATTTTATTGTGTATAGCACTGTTTGTAATTTGTAAGTTCATACTTAAATTCATAACCTTCATAGTTAAATCCATAACCTTCAAATGTTATATAGATTTTTAATTATAAACCGATATGAAAAGAATCATTAAGCTTACTGCTTTTTAGATGGTAGTTGTGACACCTTTGAGCAGAAAACAGTACATAAGCAAGTACTATTAAAACCTGTAGTATTCAAAGTTGAACTCATCCTCTGAACAGTTAAGACGGCTACTAATAACAAAGGCTTCATTTCATTTATTCATAGTCTGGCACCAGGTGGGTATATAAAAATATTACAGAATAGTTTGATATTTTAACTCAATGACATAAAAAACAAGCAGGTGTAGTTCAGGCCCTTCTCAAATGTCCTTTTAGGCCACCTCACAGAATTCAGCACAGCAAAACTCCAAGATTGTAGATCCACAGGATCCATTTACACTGAGAGGGGCTCAGCAGAAGCTCAGCTAGCACTCAGCTCACATATCCTGGGGTGCTGTAAGGCTTTCTAAGCACTTCAGCACACTTTCAGAAACACAGCTCTTGTCCACCTCCTTCAGCAGAACCTGCAGGAAGAGACAGAGAATTAAGAAGTCCATTAGTTTAGGTAGTGAAAAAACTTTATATCACCTGTCAGAAGGTTTCCAGTTAGGGGTAACTCCCCATATAGAAATCTCTCTATATGGTACCCTCATTCGCTCAACACAGCACAGAATCCTGGAATATTTAATGCTTTTAAACTCCAGCCAGGACTTGTATTGATGCCATTGATTACTGTGAACTGCTATACTTAGCCAATGAGCTTATCAGCTTGCCATGCTGGAGTCCGACTGCCCAAAATGTATTCGCTGTAGAGACGTACCCGCAGTCTTCCATGTGAGCAGTGGTCCAGCAGCAGCAGGCAGCGGGAGGCTCTGGTCAGAAGCTGGTCCCTGAGCTCAGGAGCCAGTGACTCTGATGAAATGTCGACAAGGAACCTCAGCAAACTCTTAGCAAGCACATCCATCCTGCACTCCATTCTAGAGAGATGAAGAGAACAACATTAATAGTATTCACGGCTGCACTCACTTTCACTTGACATAACGTTGCAGCGCCTGAATTAATGCTACAAAATGAATGTTAGGTCTGTTTACTTAGACTAAAAAATTGACACAGGTTGGTGTCCGACCCTCCAGCACTGCAGCTGCCTTTAACAGTGACCTATGAAACATTTCCGCTTAAAATTGAGTAACCTTGGCCAGGCGGTCTGTATGGTCTTCTCCAGAACCTCAAGTATGATCAGCCTAGCTTTCTCTTCTGGACCGTCAGACACCTCCAGATATCCCACAATCACTCTCTCCAGCCTCTTCAGATGTCGAGCGATTCCTATGCCCATCCTATAAGATCAAACAGTAAATTACGCCAAAATTCCTCCAGTTTGGTGCAGTTAGACAAACACAAAGTAAAAACACAAGTGACCATAATTATACCACAGAATGATGCACTCGCATAGTACCGTACACTGAGTTGTTGGCGGGGGGGGGTTGGCAGCGGTGGAGCGACTCGTGTGTGTAACAGCCATTAGCCAAGCAGCTACACTCTTAAAAGAGATGGTGCTTCAAGGGATCTTTAGAAAGTGGTTCTATTAAGGACCATGAACACTCAAAAAACCCTTTGCATAATTAAGGGGTTCTTTGCATCATGAAAGGGTTTTTCGGATTGATGGAAAATGTGCATGAATGTGCGATAGACGGTTCTATGTAGAACCTTTTTGAAAAGGGTTCTATATAGCACTCAATAGGGTTCTTCTACTGTTACAAGCTTAACACTGTAACAATAGAAAAGCACTTTCTTCTATTTAGACACATGTACAACACATTCTCCATCATGCACAGAACCCTTTAACCATGCAAAAGGTTCTTTGAATGTTTAAGGTTCTACATAGAACTATTTACTTTACTAAAGAACCTTTGAAGCACCATCTTTTTTTAGGAGTGTTGAAGTTAGCATGCTGGCTAACTGACCTGCCATGAGCAGTAAACACCACAGAAGTACAGACAGTCTCATATCATGCAGTCTCTCTCTCTCTTATGCATAATTCATACTGAGTGGAAAAGAAATGTTAAAAGTTTCAGGCTTAGACACTAAAATTACGAAGCTCCACCCCTTAAAAAGGTCAACGTAGCCAAAGTAGTCGTGTTATTGGTCAAGGACACTCAAAGATCACCAAAGTTGAATTTGGTGTGAAGTTTTGCTGGTGAAATTTAGCCATACTAGACAAGAAACCGCTTGTTGGTGCGGATTTTATAGAAACTAATGCACTTTATGCAAATTACGCTGAAGAAAAGCTAGTGTGACTGGGCCTTTACACCCAAATGCTGTGGACCTCACTTTTCAATGAACAGAAGGAGGTTGCTGGTGTAGATTCGGCGCAAGACCAGCTTGTGTTCCATTTCCATGTGTGTTAAAATGAGACGAAGAACATCGTCAAAGCGGCTTGGCTTCCGTGGTAATCCTGGGTGGACAAGGGGCTTCTCAAGGACTGCCATCAAATCTATAAGACAAGGCAGAACTACCTGGAAAAAGACAGAGAAAAAGAGAAGTAAGACCATTATTGTTACAAGATGATGCCACCGAGGCCAAATCCTTTTCACTAAATACATATACAGCTAAACAATACATATGAATAACCTACAAAAGTGTCCAAAAACAAATGCAGATTTTGAATAAAATAAATAAGAATTTCTGAATGCATTCCTAGAACTTGCTTGGAGTACAGACCAAGGCCCAGTCCCATTTCACCCCTCGCCCTACCACTCAGCCCTTATTCCTCCATTTTGCACATTAACATCTAGGTGTAGGGTGTCCCGACTGTTGTTGAGATAGAGGGGTAGGGCGAAGTATTTGGGCTACATGACCCTCCAAACGGAGGTTTTTCAGAGTCACACTCCAAACAGTGTTATGTGTTATGAGATAAAAATAAAAAAACGGCGACATGGCTGAACAAGCGACCAAAGAAACCCACAAATGTGAGTATTTTCTCCATTAAACATTACAATAACCACTGTATTATCTTAATGTAATATCGTTTTAATGTATTATGGTCCTTTTCTTCATAACAAGCATATAAAGTCGCTAGTAGTTTCTGATGTCTCAGTAGCAACCAGCTAAATGTCCCGTTCCACCTTAAATGGTGCAGCAGTTACATTCCGGTGCTTCACACATCAGAACTAATGCACCATTTAAGGTGGAACGGGAAAATTCAAACAAGAAGCTGGTGAATATCTGACTTCAGCTTCATATCAACAAACAATTAGAGTTGGCAAAAATAAATAACTGCAGTGAGGAGCTGAACTTTACCCTCCTCTGCTGTCCCTGCAGACTGGCAGGGTCGCCTACAGAGCAGCGCTGGTAGCTGATAATGAAGTAATGCTCTTTTTATTTGAGGGTCCCATTTCATAGGGAAGATTTCAACCACTACCCCTTGTAACTCAGTTCCAAGGTGCAAGGAGACACTCGAAAACAAGGGGTAGGGGTAAAATAAGAAATGGGACTGGGCCCTAGAGCCACTTTGTGCATGCATATAGGTTACCTGTATAAGCGGAGCTTCAGATGTGTACAGGTGATTAAAGAGGGCATGGTAGAGCACCTGAGCTCGGTTGAACTGCCGAAGGTCAGCAGCAGGCTGAAGCGGGAGAGAAATGAAAATACTCTTTCATTATATCTCCAGTACTGACCTGCTGGTCAAAGTTGGGATGTTTCTAATGAATGAAGTAGGAAAAAAATGAAATCTCTTTCTTCACAGACATAACTTACCACGTTAAGTACGATGTGATGGAGGCAGTGCACTCCCAGTACTTTATTCTCTGTCCGGTAATCGTCTGATATGAGCAGAGAAGGAGGAAAGACCTTCTCCAAATAGTCAGCTAACCAGGGACGTCCAACCTGCACCAGGACCCAAGAGAACACATGCTTCACTGCCTCGTTGCGTTTCCAGTTTTCCCTGAAAACAAAAAAAGAGATTTTCTCTGTAATGTGATGAATGAGGGAGACAGTTTACAGTATCAGCAGAACATTAATCCCATAATAAAGGAAGACGTCAGTCAAAAATGGTAATAGACAATGTTCATTTGTGGTTATTAGATTACATTGATTGTTATCCACATGAGAGCATTAATATGAGATACTTCTGTTTTTTCTCTTACGCAGAATGAGGAAGCACTCCAAAGACTCTAAAGTCTGCAGACACCTGCTTATCCAGCATTTCCTCTGAAATCAGGGGCAGGGCTGATGAGTAATTTGGGGGGAATATTGAACAACATTTTTTTAACCATTATTCTGTTTTAAATTTGGATTATTTTCTACACATGAAGCTCCAGCTTGGCCTTTTATTTTGGCCAAGAAGACCAGAAAGTCTAGCTTGAGGCTTCTGAACATACTGAGCCTGACTCGAGTTTGGTTGTGTTGTCATGTACACAGTACAAGAGTGTTTGCTTTTGATCAGTCTAAGTCCAATGTGTCAAACACAAGTCCCGTGGGCCAGATCAGGCCCACGACACAATCCTATCCGGCCTGCAAAAGTATTTTAATTTTCTATTAATATTAGCCAGTTTCACAATGCCCTGCACTACAGTCCCCAGCATGCACTGCAACGTAATGTGCGCTCTGACTCTTCTACCCCAACAACAGTCTATGGGACAGCAGTTACACCTCAATTCTACACAGTTCCACACCAGTCATATCACCAAACACACTAACTTCATTTACACCTCATCTCCCTCTACTGCCAGCATTATGAGAGCAATTAAAAAAACAAATTTGATTCACTATTCTGGCATAAAATCGACCTGATTATTAAATTCCAAAACATTTTTTAAATAATAATGTGTGCAGGGGTCCTTTTGGGGTATGTTGCCCTGAGGCAACACTGTGCAACAATGGGAAGACATGATATAGAGCCGTGTTCCCTGAAGTGGTAAGATCTGGCTTTGTGACTGGCTAAATCCATTCCACTGTTGCTTCTAGGCAACAAACATACTTCTGCAAATTTTCATAACAAAAAAAATGATGAATGTTAAATAAGAGGTTTGAAAGTGTCCACTTTTTATTGACTTACTCAAACTCTTCCCTTTATTGTTAACCCTGTCATTGTTGTTAAATATGTGTAAAGTTAGTGTAAAGTGAGGAAAAAGGGGTTTGTTGCCTAGAGGCAACGTCGTGCAATAGAGGGTTAATGAACTTGCAGTAAAGAAAGGATGCCAGGTGTCTAGTTTAAGCAATAGGTAGGTTTAAAAGACTGAGCTCCTGGGGACGTTTACATTTTGAATATTTCAATATATATCCATGTAATATTTCAAGGTCTGCTACAAGTGCCTGTATTTTACTGTTTAAGTTTTTGCGCATTTTGAATAAACAGTAGCCAATATAGGTTACAGCACAACATTAATTAAAAATAAAAAAAAAAACATAGGCGTTTTCTGGCCCACAGATTTGTTGAGATTTTTTTAATACTGTTAGAACTGCCTGTTAGACCTGCGGTGGTTGAGTTTGACACCGCAGGTCTAACAGGCAGTTCAGAAGCTCCAAGTACAATTTTCCCACTTAAAACTCAAAACCACCTCCCCGCCCTTCTGGGAAGGCTTTACACTATTGCTGGATTGCATTCAAATCCACAAGAGCATTCGTGAGGTCAGGCTCTGATGTTGGATGATCAGTTCTGGATCACATACGCCACTCTAACTTGCCCCAAATGTGCTGGACGGAGCTCCATCACTCCAGAGAACACAGTTCCACTGCTCCACGGCCCAACGCCGGGGGACTTTATTCCTCTCCAGCTGATATTTAGTACTGGACATGGCAGCTTTAGACCTCATGTGCTGCTGCTGCTGCTCCAAAGCATCAAATTCTACCTGCTGTTGTACACCTGTGTTAGCAATGTATTCACCTTAGAAGCTGGACATATAGTGTACACCGGTCAGCCATAACATTATGACCAACTTCCTTCACAGTGGTGTTGATGGGAACCAGGGGTGACTGTGTCTACATACACCAATCAGGCATAACATTATGACCACCTCCTTGTTTCTACACTCATTGTCCATTTTATCAGCTCCACTTACTATATAGGTGCACTTTGTAGTTCTACAGTTACAGACTGTAGTCCATCTGTTTCTCTGATACTTTATACTTTAACCCCCTTTTAACCTGTTCTTCAGTGGGCAGGACCCCCATGGACCCTCACAGAGCAGGTACTATTTGGGTGCTGGATCATTCTCAGCACTGCAGAGACACTGACGTGGTGGTAGTGTGTTAGTGTGTGTTGCGCTGGTATGAGTGGATCAGACACAGCAGTGCTGCTGGAGTTTTTAAACACCTCAGTGTCACTGCTGGACTGAGAATAGTCCACCAAACAAAAATATCCAGCCAAAAGCGTCCTGTGACCACTGATGAAGGACTAGAGGATGACCAACACAAACTGTGCAGCAGCAGATGAGCTATCGTCTCTGACTTTACATCTACAAGGTGGAGTGGAGGTAGGAGTGTCTAATAGAGTGGACGGTGAGTGGACACAGTGTTTAAAAACTCCAGCAGCACTGCTGTGTCTGATCCACTCAGACCAGCACAACACACACTAACACACCACCACCACCACGTCAGTGTTACTGTGGTACTGAGAATGAACCACCACCCACATACTACTTGCTCTGTGGTGGTCCTGACCACTGAAGAACAGGGTGAAAGGGGGCTAATTAAGTATGCAGAGCAACAGATGGACTACAAGTGTAACTGTAGAACTACAAAGTGCTCCTATATGTGAAGTGGAGCTGAGTGTAGAAATGTTATGGCGGTCGGTGAATATCAAAAGCTTCACATGCTTGCAGGACAAGGCTGCTCAGTTCTGGTCCTGGAGATCTTCCACCCTGGATAGTTCAGATCCAGCACACCTGGCTCAAATAGTCAGATGCCCCTAAAGACCTTCATTACCTGGATCAGGTGTGTTAGAACAGGGTTGGAGCTAAACTCTGCAGGGTGGTAGATCTCCAGCACCAGGATTGGGCACCCCTGTTGGAGGAGGCTTTAGTGACACATGGACTCACTTTGTCAACTCTGGCTGCAGTGTGTCCAGAACTGGGCCCAGCATCCCTCGTTGGTCACCTTCATCCTTGCCACACAGTAGCTCCAGTACTGACCCACTGCTTGTGGCTGTGGCAGTGGAGTTCAGCAGCTCCAACGCACATTTTCTGGACGCCTCGTTGGTCCACGGCAGGTCTTGCAGGTGTGTAAAGGAGAAGACACAAAGTGAGGGCCCAAGTGTGCGGATGAGTGACCTGGCTGACCCTGAAACCGCTGAATCGCTGGACCTAACGGCTCCTCGAAGCTGCTCGGTCAGCGCCAGCAAAGCTGCGCCAACGGCCTCGGCTTTGGCAGGAATGTGCTCGTAGCTGCTGGAAGGCAAAGTGCCGCTGTCGGTGTCACACACCGGTAAAGCGGCGTATTCGGTGAAGCTGCTGACCAGCTCAACATAGGCTGCCCGCAGATCCGAGCTAGACTCCGGGAAGAGCCAGCACACTTCCCCGCTGCTCAGCAGCTCCGCCGCGCTCTTCAGGAGGCTCCGCTTTGCCGAGTCTTCGGCCACAAAGCGCCGGTGGATTTCAGACAAAACCCGGTTAACCGAACAAGCAGAGGCTCCGTTATTCCTCTCGGACCCTTCAGTGAGATTGAGATCACGGAGGACGCGAGCCAGATCCATTCCTGCCACTTCTGTCGCCTTTTAGCCTCACTAATGTTTTTAGCAGAGGCTGCTAACAGCTAACTTCAGTTGATAGCTCGCTGCCAACCCCGTCTAACTTTAATTTCAGGTTCTAGTATGACTCTAGTATTCGGTTCTATCTGGCTAGCTAGAACGTTTAGAGTGTAATATGAATTTTAAGCATCAAATATGAAATTCAACATCGAATACGAACTCGGGCTCAATCCCAAATGCCTCTCTTCGTGAAACATAGTGCACTATTTGCGTAGGGAAGCCGGTAATTCATCACCTCAGTTAGTGCGCACTATGTAGGACGTCAGGAGCGATTTGGGACACAGCCTGACCCATCCGTGTCGATGAAAGCGCGGATAACAGCGACTGCTAAATAAACACGGCTTGTTTTTGAGCTCTTATATCCAGAACTAAACTTTCGACGGTGTGATATTTTTACTGCAGAGCCGCATCGCAGGACATTTATCCCATACTGTCAATAAACTGTCCAACATTCTCCATCAAAGCTTCTTCAATGCGATTGTCGTGTGCAACTGAAAAATACGTCTCACTGGAAACTGGAACCGTTGGAGGTTCCGGCAGGGACGTGAACAAACCCACCCCGCCACACACCGTGTGAGGTGAGACAGAGTGTGTGCGGTGAAACTTAAACTCCACAGTTTACCAGATTAGCAAATGTGCGATACATTCTTTACCAAAATCTGTGGCAGGGCTGCAGAACGACTAAACTGAATCTCAAAAGGCACTACGTAGGTCTTAAAGGGGAACTCCACCGATTTATCAAAAAATCTAAATAATTCAAATGTTGAGATGTAATCAAAGCTATCCAGAGTGGTTTGGTGTGAAATGCTTTGTTCTAGAGAAACTTGGCGAGTCATAATTATTAACTGGTGGTGATGGGAACCAGACGTCTAAAGAGTTCAATGCCTTTGACAGCTCCCTCACAGAATGTTATAACATGAAATGGTTGGGTATACACTGCCTGATGTCTGACACATTGTTTTATGATGAAGTTTGGTTTAAAATGTATTTTAATCCGTTTATTTTAATCCACTATGGCGGAGGGCATCATGCAGAGAAAACAATATTTTTCAGATTTATTGCTATTTTACCATCAGCATTGCATATAAAAACATAAAGGCACGTGTAATTCCACTAGTGGTTTTGGGTATTAAATAAAATGGCTATATTTGCGTTGTAGATATGGCAACTGGTTCCTGTCATGACTGTTTCAAAATCAAACCACTCTGAAATTTGTGAAATCCCCCCTAAAATTATGGCTCCTCAAATCAAACATTACATAATATGTGCACAGTTCCATATCGGACATATAAAGTAGGCTACTGTTTGGGTGCAGATGCCAAAATGCCATAACTCACACAGTGCACTATTTAGGGAGTAGGAAGCCATTTGAGATTCAGCCACAGAGAAGGAACACAAAAGCTGGACCTCTGAGCAATGGAAAACAGGAATATTGTGTGTGGAGTCATCTTTCACCATTTTCTTGCATCTGGATGTGTTCACTTGTCCAGAACGCCAAGGGATGCCTTCAAGGCATCATGTCTGTTGCCATCTGTTAAACATGGTGGATCCATTTTGATACGGGCAGCCATCTGGTGGGAGGTACGATGATTACATGGTCATGTACCCTAGGCAAAAGAGTAGGCCGTTTTAAAGGCCGGGTGTGCCATGGAGGAAACACTGTTCTCTCCTCATGTTCCCATGTTCCAAGATGACACCTTCATATCTGCTCTAAATAAGTTAGAGTGGTTTTATGAAATCCAGGACCAAATCAAATGCCTTCCAAAGCCTCCACTGTCACCAGATTTAAACAACACCTTAACGTCTTACATCTCTTTAGCTATGGAATGCAGAGTGCACAGCCAGTTTCCCACTCTTCATCTTCAGAGAACTGGAAGCTTTTATTTTCGAAGAATCGCCCAAGATCTTACCAGACTTGTACGTTAGGATACCAAGAAGGCCTGAAGCAGTTCTGTCATATTCCTTAGTGCAGTATTTTTCACTACTGCCCCCCCAGAATCCCATAGGAATATTGTGTGAGGAGACATCTTTTACCAGTTTCTTGCATCTGGATGTGTTGACTTCTGGAGAACGCCAAAGAACGTCAAAAGAACTGCATATTTTGTGGATGCTTCTGCGCCAGCTAGGCATGGGCAGATGAATGCTGAAGTATTACTTTGATAACTGATATTTACATACAAATATCGATACCCAGTTGTAATATATTTTGATTTGATTTTAACACATTCTAGCAACGTACCAAGCCAGAACTGTTCATACTGGTGGTGATAGGAACCAGACGTCTGAAGAGTTTAACGGCTCTAAAATCTACATCACAGTAAGCTTTTACATGATTGCAAGGAACATGGTTACAAATGTGCTGCTTGATGTCTGAGACATTGTTTTAGAATAGAGGTTTTGGTCCAAAACCTCAAAAAAAAACATGACAAAGAGGTACATGTCAGGAGTTGTAAGGCAAAATAGCCCCCCCGAAAAAACCTGTTTTACCGTCATCAATATTACTTATAAAAAGTCAGAAGACACATTCAGATCAAACCACTCTGAATCTCAACAATTAAAAATTGAAGAATTAAAATAATAAATAAATAATAAAGTGTGGGATTCCCCCAAGACTATTGCAAATACTGCACTGATGTCTGTATTTATCTGTTTAACTGTAGAAATCAGAAAGCTTCCTTCTTTGTATGTGCACAAGAACATTATATCAATAACGTATTGGTTATCAATAACGTATCAATAACAGTTTTGGTCTCAGAATGCTAGGATTCAGAAAGGAAAAGCAGTGGCAGCGCCAGCACGCCTACTTTAACCTTACCCAGGGTTTGTAAAGAGCTGTGTGCCTTTGCCAAGGGCCTTTGTGCCAAGGTTTACCCAGTTGGAAAGACAACATGTTCACGCTTCCAAAGCTTTTATTCATTTATGGAGGATTGAAATGAATTATTAGAGCTGCACAGCAAACAGTGTTTAAGCACATCTGTCGTTCCCTTTGTCCATCACTTCCTCTCCGTTATTACAGGGTGTGATGTGTGTTTGATGCATATCCACAGGAAGAGGTGCGTCACCTTTGGACTGTGATAATTTATTGACACAGACAGAGCAACAAAGCACTTTGATTGAGAGGATATTGGATTTCCTGAACAGGGTGATGGAAAAAAAATCCTAATAATAGCGGAGGCTTGGCATTTTGCAGACAGAAGACATGTGGTGGACTAATAGTACCAGCTCATAGTTTAAGGTTTGATATTTGGAGCCTGATAATGAACATACAATGAATTACACACACATTTTCCAAGCTGCTTATCCTTCTGGGTCGTGGGGGGAGCTGGATCCTATCTCAGTGCTCACTGGGTGGAAGACAGGAAACACCCTGAACAGGCCCGCCAGTCCATGCCGGACATACACATTCAAACCTAGGGGCAATGTAGCATCTCTAATTGCCTGACTGCATGACTTTGGACTGGGGTGGGAACCCACGCAGACACGGGGAGAACATGCAAACTCCACACGGAAAGGACCCTGGTTGCCCGGCCGGGGAATCGAACCCAGGCCCTTCCTGCTTGAGATGACTGGCACCACCATGCCACCCACAATGAATTAAAAATTAATATTATTTTTTCTCCTTTCTTCTTTTTATTTTTATATTCTGAAAACAATGCAGTCTTGTCTTGATCTCCTCCCACTCCTGGTCTTGGTCTTAACTTAGACTCAACAACTATAAAATCTTGGTTTGGCTCAGAGTGTGTCCAGGTCTCGATCTTGACTCGGACTTGCCTCTAACGGCCTTGACTACAGCATCGCTTTGTACTACTGCGTACTTTTGCAAATTTTAAAGCTTTACAGATCTCTGACAAGAGTCCCATTCAAGCTAACGAGAGACTGCACATCTCATACCTACATTTAGAGTGCATTATTAATTTCAAACAATATTTATATGTCATGCATGGGAAAGGTAGAGTAGCTCAGATGTAGGATTTTTTCAGGCTTTTAGGCTTCCCTGTCATTTCAGGTCTAGCCTAGTGTTGACATGGTAAACAGTCCAATTTGGGAGTGTAACTTATTAAACTGGAAACTCACCATTATGTCATGGCTCATTAGGCTGAATGTGATTTTTGCCTTTGTTCTGTAAAGCCTGTCTAACCTGGCAGAGCATGGGTGTGTCAATTCTGACAGTTCTAGGGTGCATTGAAAATGCCATGCTGATATACTGCATACTGCAGTAGTGCATAGGCTATTATGTACAACATACTGCTCCTCACAGTGGTGTGCGGGATACCACATTACATTAACACAATCACTCTAAGTGAGTTGTCGCTACGTGACAGAGTTGTGAGAGGAAGACAGCCATTTGAAGTTGAAAATTGTGTTAAAATGTTAAATTATTAAGCTATCTAAGGAGTTTAATGCCTCTAAAAGCTCCATTGTTTTGTTTTTTTAATATGTCCATTAATGGCAGATAGGTATGTAAAGCAAAATAGTCCCCAATAAAGCTCATTTTTTCTTACTGACCACTGTTTTACCATCATCAATCACATATAAAAACTCTGACACATGTATGTTCTGTGGTGGTTTTGGATAGTAAATAAAATGGCTGTATTTGTGTTGCAGACATCACAACCCCTAGTTCCTGTCACCACCATCTCAATGATTGAATTATTCAGAAATTTTGTAAAATCAGCGGAATTCTCCTTTAACTGTCAAAAGTATTGAGGCCAAGACCAGAAAGGCTGTAATAGCTTTCATGTTCAATCAGTGCTTACATATAAATACAATACCAGGCCTGTGATTCCCAATCCCAGCACACCTGATTCAAATGATAGTGTGTTTAAAGTTTTTATGAAGCCCTTTGTGAACCGAGTTGGAGCAGGCAATGGAGTACATAAGACTGGAATTAAGTTCTGTACTAGATCAAAACTGTTGGACGCTCTTAACCAAAGTGTTTATTTGAGTGTTTGAGTCAATTTGATGCAGCACAGCTTCATAATGCATGTTATTGTACAGCACAGTCAACCAAATTACCATCAGCACTGAGCATAAAAAATAGGTTCCAAAGAGGCGCTTATACTTCCTGACACTGTAACACCATTTAGGAAGGAGAGCGCGTGTCCTACTCCTCCATGTCCACCTCGCTGTCGTCGCTCAGTGGGAACTCCCTGCACTGGCGCTCTGTGTTGTAGCTCTTTACATGCATGGGACACTCCTGGTTTATAATGGCCTGCAAAATAGATAATGACCCAACTTTGTATTATATATATATATATATATATATATATATATATATATATATATATATATATATGTGTGTGTGTGTGTGTGTGTATGTGTGTGTGCATACATATATAAAATACACCGATCAGCCATAACATTATCTTTCTACACTCATTGTCCATTTTATCAGCTCCACTTACTATATAGGTGCACTTTGTAGTTCTACAGTTACAGACTGTAGTCCATCTGTTTCTCTGATACTTTGTTAGCCCCCTTTTACCCTGTTCTTCAGTGGTCAGGACCCCCATGGACTCTCACAGAGCAGGTACTATTTGGGTGGTGGATCATTTTCAGCACTGCAGTAACACTGACGTGGTGGTGGTGTGTTAGTGTGTGTTGCGCTGGTATGAGTGGATCAGACACAGCAGTGCTGCTGGAGTTTTTAAACACCTCAGTGTCACTGCTGGACTGAGAATAGTCCACCAACCAAAAATATCCAGCCAACAGTGTCCTGTGGGCAGCGTCCTGTGACCACTGATGAAGGACTAGAGGATGACCAACACAAACTGTGCAGCAGCAGATGAGCTATCGTCTCTGACTTCACATCTACAAGGTGGACCGACAAGGTAGGAGTGTCTAATAGAGTGGACAGTGTTTAAAAACTCCAGCAGCACTGCTGTGTCTGATCCACTCGTACCAGCACAACACACACTAACACACCACCACCACATCAGTGTTACTGCAGTGCTGAGAATGATCCACCACCCAAATAGTACCTGCTCTGTGAGAGTCCATGGGGGTCCTGACCACTGAAGAACAGGGTAAAAGGGGGCTAACAAAGTATCAGAGAAACAGATGGACTACAGTCTGTAACTGTAGAACTACAAAGTGCACCTATATAGTAAGTATAGCTGATAAAATGGACAATGAGCATAGAAACAAGGAGGTGGTCATAATGTTATGCGTGATCGGTGTATATATGACCTCACGTCCTGAAGTGGTTTAAAAACAAATGTTTATGTGCGTTTCTTACCATTTTCTCCTCTCGTATAGCAGGGTTTTTGAGGAAGAAGCAGAGCGGTGCATAAAGAATGTTGACAATGCCGATGATCACCATAAGATACGGAAACCCAATCACTCTCACAATGGCACCCCCTGTGGATGGGCCTATACCAGTGTCACAGTAGAGGTGAAGAGGTCAGCTATTCTGCTCAAACTGTCTGAGGTTTATAGGTAGCATGTTTCCGAGCAAAGAAAAAAGTTGTGCATTGACACATTACTTACTGCACCCTTAAAGTCTTTTATGTACAGGCAAACTCATTTAGGCAGGTTAGTGGTGGAGGTAGTACTGACTAAGTATACTTACCTACAGCAAACCCCATGCAAAGTGCCACATCTGCAATAGCGTACACACTCCCATAAACTGAGGCATGTCTGATGTCGACCAGGTAACCCATTATTGCCATCATGGAGGAGTCAACCATTCCTACAAGCACAAACACACAAGGTTTAATTCCATCTATTATTATTAAAACAGGACTTGCTGTTCAGGCTATATTATCAATACAGTCTTAGTTACCAATAGCAAATCCAAGTCCTCCGTTGGGGCCAATGAGGCCATAGATGTTTTTGGCCAAAGGAACCTGCAACATATAGTCACAGCCACTATAACAAATATGATTGGTAGAGGTAGCTCCTTAAGTTGATAAAGGGGAAATCCACCAATTTTTCAAAATTTCTGCCTAAAGTACATGGTTAAGATGTAAAACAAGTCATTAAGAGTGGTTTGATGTGAAAAGCTGCATTCTAGAGGAACAAAGTCAGAATGTTTTACAGTGGTGGTGATAGGAACCAGGCATCAGAAGAGTTTAATGTCTCTTAAAGCTCCACCACAGGAGGTTTTTTTTTACACAAAATGGTTACAGATATGCTGTCTGATGCCTGAGACATTTTTTTCACAATAGTTTTGTGATAACATTTTGGCCAAAAATGTATTATAATCCATTTATTTTGATCCATTAATGGCAGAGAGGTTCAGGCAGGGCATTGTAGGGCTTTATAATACCCAAAGAACACTTACACCGATCAGGCATAGAGCAGGTACTATTTGTGTGGTGGATCATTCTCAGCACTGCAGTAACACTGACGTGGTGGTGGTGTGTTAGTGTGTGTTGCGCTGGTACGAGTGAATCAGACACAGCAGTGCTGCTGGAGTTTTTAAACACCTCAGTGTCACTGCTGGACTGAGAAAAGTCCACCAACCAAAATTATCCAGCCAACAGCGTCCTGTGGGCAGCGCCCTGTGACCACTGATGAAGGTCTAGAGGATGACCAACACAAACTGTGCAGCAGCAGATGAGCTATCGTCTCTGACTTTACATCTACAAGGTGGACTGACAAGGTAGGAGTGTCTAATAGAGTGGACAGTGAGTGGACACAGTGTTTAAAAACTCCAGCAGCACTGCTGTGTCTGATCCACTCGCCCCAGCACAACACACACTAACACACCACCACCACGTCAGTGTTACTGCAGTGCTGAGAATGATCCACCACCCAAATAGTACATGCTCTGTGAGGGTCCATGGGGGTCCTGACCACTGAAGTACAGGGTAAAAGGGGGCTAACAAAGTATGCAGAGAAACAGATGGACTACAGTCTGTAACTGTAGAACTACAAAGTGCACCTATATAGTAAGTGGAGCTGATAAAATGGACAATGAGCGTAGAAACAAGGAGGTGGTCATAATGTTATGGCTGATCGGTGTAAATGTTTGTGATGACCACTATTATGCCGCTATCAACATTACATATAAACACTCAGAAGACACATGCAGGTTCACCGGTGATTTTAGTTAATCAAATGGCTGCATTTGTATTGTAGACGTGAAGACGCCTGGTTCCTATCACCACCACTGTAAAGAGTTGGCAAGTCCGTAGTGGGTACAGTGACCCATTTCACATTAGACCACTCTGACTGACATTGTGTACATCTCAACAATTGAAGTGTGCATGAATTTTGAAAAAAGGGAATCTCAAACAGACTTGCTTATGTGGTTTCTGACACTGTATTAGAAGCCATTTTGCAGCCTGAATGGAATCTTTTGTCCATGTTTGTAGATGACGGTGGGTTATACAGTGTCAGAAACTAAGTATGCAATGATTTAGGATGATTATGCTGTTAGCACCATGATAATCGTCAGCTATAGGCTTTCATTATGTAGCTCCATTTGAATGTAGCCTCAGGGCAAAACTAAAGACTTAGACACCAAACATGTCTCGGCTGGTTGCCTAAATTTGGGGTAAAAGAAAAATTTGATTTTTGGCTAAACAGTCACTTTAATAAAAAACGTTTAAGAGAAGAAAAGTTTGAGGCTGGTACTCACACAGATGAGGCTGATGCCAACGATGGTCATCCCAATCATGGAACACAACCATCTGAGGGACAGAATTATGTAGGGATTAAAGGATTTACACATTACTGTCAGCATCACTGTATCAGAGCCATTTTTGTGACTCCACTAGAAAGATGCTGTACCTGCCCATTTTGTTGGCTAGCAGGCCGAACAAGTTGGTCCCAATCAGGTATGACACACTGGCTGGTAGAAAAGCCACACCTGCAATATCAGCACCATCATCAGTGAGCTTCAGCGATTCAGCAGGTAGAGGGTAGAGTTAGAGCTCAGTTAAACCAATAAAACAAACAGGGAACACGCGCTAAATCATCTTCTGATGCCATCAGCTACATCAAGAACCTCTCAGCATCCATTTCCAGACATATCAGTTCTCCACAATCATGCGACGAGCCACATAAAAGAAGCAATTAAAGTAATATCCTGGAGCACTGACGTCTAGGTGAGTTTGTGAACTGGGGCCTGGAGTCGTATTGTCTGCTTCGCTTTCTTAACCCCTTAAAGCCTATGGCAGGGTGGGGCAATCTGTGGCTCCAGAGCCACACGCGGCTCTTTTACTGCCCTGTTGCGGCTCCACAGCAGAATTAGATTTGTAGATAAAAATAAAATAATCCTCCTTTACAGTAAAATAAAGCTCTGCTGATTGTTCAACACAGTTTAACAATAAACAGTCTTAAACGCTGGAGTTAATGTAGCACTGCTAATTCACCCTTTAACCCTGAAGGTGGGCACACAGACTGCTGGTCACCTTAGCAATGCAGACAATAATCTCGCCTAGCCAGTAGCTAACAAAGGGGCAAGTCAAACATAGATAGTTTGAAGACAAATGGATTATTTGTATTTCTAATCACTCCAGCTGGTTTCCTGATACGTTTAATCTGCAACAAGAAACTGACAAACACTAAAAAGTCACGAAGCTAATATCAGCTTAAATGGTGCAGTAGTTAGCTAAACTCTGGAAAATTCGAACAAGAAGCTGGCGAACGAGAAGCGACCTCAGCCTCTTAAAAATGTGAACTTTGAGAGACATTTTACAAGAAACTAACATTATTCTTCTTTTGCAGAAAAGTTTCCTGCTGGAGATGTGAGAAAAGCAGCTATAGCTGAGCTATAGATTAAAGCAGAGCAAAGTAAGTCTGTATTTTTGTTTATATTAAATTTATTAGCCTATACTAGCACTTTAGCACATACTGAGGCATATTTACAGCCAAGATGGTAAAATGGACATAAACTGTTGGGGTTTGATTTTGGTTAAAAGGACAAAATGGCTCTTCTTAACATTTGGGTTGCCGACCCCTGGCCTATGGACTTCTTTGTGAGCCCACACTTAAATAAAACAGATAGTTCCGGTCCTAAAATCTGATTGGGTGGGCCATAAAATACTCAATATAGGACACCTGTGACCGCCTCACAACTGAATTCTGTATTAATGCACCAAGTCATCAAGTCATTAGAATAATATTTGACTTTTCACACATTACAGAGTGCAAATAAAGTAATTGAGAAGCTGACAATTTATTTTCTTAGCTAGAACGAGGCTAACCAGGTAGCCAATGGGCCAAAAGACCGCTAACAGGCCAAACAGCTCCTCCAATAATGCCAAAAGCTTTAAATTGAAGTACTTCATATATGATTCACTTTAAAAACTGCAATATAAAAAAGTATAGAACATGTCATTTGAATAACTTTCACACTTAAAATGTCAATGCTTTGGTTAGATCTGTCTATTAGATCTGTCTGAGCTGAATCTGAAACGGCTCCTACACCCTAAGTAGTGCCCTATGTAAACTCTACACCCAAATAGGGCCCTGTTTGTCCAGTATGTGCACACATGGCTGAATCCCATTTGGCTAATTGTTAGACCTATTATGCAATGTTTGGGTGCACTATGTAGGGCATAGGGAGCCATTTGAGATTCAGCCCTAGTTGGGGAAAAGCGAAGTACAAGACTTTTAGCTTGGTGCTAATATAAGACTGGAAATGGCACAGTGGAACAGATCATTGAAATACGCAAAGAAATTCTGTTAAAAGTGCAGATTTTAACCTTTTAATTCATACCACATCATTATGAATTGAGTTTGATAAAAAGTTGTATTGTGTTTGCAGTTTTGTTTTGTGGTTTGTTTCACATTTTTCCATTGATTTTGTCATTTTTTGACATCGATACAAGTTGAAATGTACATCAAGTGTAAATGTTATTAATTCAGTGTATGCCCTGTGATGGACTGGCGACCTGTCCAGGGTGTTTCCTGCCTTCTGCCCTATGAGGGATAGGCTCCAGCACCCCCCTCCCCCAGAAAGATAAGCAGGTTAGATGATGAATGAATGAATGAATGAATGAATGAATGAATGAATAAATAAATAAATAAATAAATGTAATTAAGGTGCATGTTAAGGTTATCAGCAGAAGTTTGAATGACATAAGAAAGAAGCAGAGGGTGGAGATTCTTACCCAGCTGCCATTTTTGTGAACACATGGTCTGCATCATCCATATAGGGAGAGTGGGCTCTAGAATGGCCACGCCCATGTTGGCAAAGCACAAAGACCCTGGGATTCCACACAAATGCAATATACAATCACAACACAACAAAGAAATACGCAAAACAATACAGAGTGCTACCAAAGAAAGTACCAAGTGCCTAATGCTCTGTGGAGCCACCCCAACATGTTTCAGTACAGGCCTTTATCAGCGATAGGCTTTTTATCCTTTCTAAAAAAGAGACATTCAGTTTTGTACCACAATGAAATACTTAACACAATTTATAATACAATATAATGCTTTAGTTACCATTAAAATTTGCCCTCAAATAAGTGACCACAGCATGTAAGGTCTGAGTAATGTATATTGTGTACACATGAACTCAGGGCCTTTATGATCATGGTTTTCTGTAATAACATTATCATGCTTGTTGTATTTAAACTCTGCATTTTAGTAATTCTTTTATTTCATAGTTGAGTTTTTTTGGAAACAAAAGCTTTAAGATCTTGAAACACTCAACATAAAATTGTCCAGTCAGGGTTTTTTCTCCATGGTATCCAAGTGGATACAGCAATGCATGATCTCTTATTGGTCAGGACTCCAGGAGCTGGACTGAAGGCCTTACACATCAACTACTATAGTGACTACAACATAATAAGGACGTGACAGTGAAATCAACCAGTCACATTGATTTACAATGGGTGGGACCAAGTCTGCATGAAAAAACATCACTCTGGGCCTTCTAGAAGTTCTAGATACATTAATGGCCGTGACTAGTCTAAGGTTTGTTAGAAAATGAAAATAGTGGGGGCAGCTCTAAGTAAAAACTCTTTACTGACAGAGTCGCTGTAAAATTGCTGCACATGAGGTCAAATACACGATGATGTCTGTTACACGCTTCAAATGTTTGTGTTTAACCTAGACACAAACCTATTTATGTAAACCAGTGTGAGCTCAGTGCTAACATGATGATGGGGGCTAGCAGAAACGAGTTTAAAGGTGGATGTTTTTTCTCATTTTTTGAGTTTTGACATTTTTCGCCACAAGTCTTAGCTATAATAGTCACGGTTCACCACTGTCTAAAGGAAAATAACATTTACACACACAGTCGTATGCACAAGTGGGTGCGCCCCCTGGTCAAATGACATGCTTTGTTGATTTTCTAAGTGGGAATATGTTAATGCAGCATAAATATAGCATTTCTCTGCAAAATTTTAGTGCACAGTTTCTTCTCTTTTACTGAGTTTAACATACTGCATCAAAGTAAAACATATAAAATGTGCCTTAACTTTTGCACAGGCCATATTTGTAACCGTTTCCCCAATATGTTAAATTCAGCAAATAAACAGTAATTGTGCATTAAAATGTGTTCACTGTAGAGAATGTGTAAACTTTTTTCATTTAGAAAGTTAATAAACTGTCATTTGGAGAAAGCAAGCTGGTTCAAGTACACACAGCGCACACATCAGGGCAAAGCCAGTGACTGATGGATCTGTGGTAAAACACACGCACCTGCGCTGATGAGTATATAAGGGTCTTTCAGCAGAGTTAGCAGTGGTGTGCCCTCCACACTCTGAAATACAAAGAGGAAACAGGATAAGATCTTATCTAATATTAGCACACAAGACTCCATAATTGCAGTGAGACTGCAATGGATGATTATACACATTTACCTCAACAGGAATCAGCTTACTCTGCTGACTGCTGGTTGCAAAAATAGCCACAATCTTTCCACAGTACACTCGATTTCATCTATCATGTTTAACCCCTCAAAATCCCAGGCTTATTACATACTAAGGCTTACTATTCAGTAACTACAAGAACTTCAGTGCAAACTAGTTGAGCTATTCTCAGGTTGTAGAAGTGTGTAATAAGACTTTGGGCCCTCTGGCATCATTTTGTTATACTATTTAAATCACATTATTACATAAGGCATAGTTGGCTACATGATGCATTACATTCAATTTACATTCTGTATCGACGTGTTCCAGTCTGGACATCTGTTATTTTTATGGTAGATTTGGACAAGATTAAAAAACTTGGTATAAATTACAGATGTGGGAGTGGCTACTCGATTTACACAGTGCCTTGACTCCAAAAAAGTTCCATATGCAATACGTTTGGCTGCTCACAAGTAGAAAACATGTCCAAACCTTTGATTTAATCATACTTTCATTTACTTTAAACATCTACCTAGCTGTCTAAAGAGGCTGAAATATGTCATTAGCTTGGAAATCTTTAGCCAAAAGTCATCATTCTGCATAAATCAAACCTTTTTAGGTCATTTTATGTGTTTTAATGTTTGGAGCATATGGGCTTGATTTGGGAAATAGAGAAAACAAGTAAATTCTTCTATGTGTCCCTCCATACTGGACTGTAGTCCATCTGTTTCTCTGCATACTTTGTTAGCCCCCTTTTACTCTGTTCTTCAGTGGTGAGGACCCCCATGGACCCTCACAGAGCATGTACTATTTGGGTGGTGGATCATTCTCAGCACTGCAGTAACACTGACGTGGTGGTGGTGTGTTAGTGTGTGTGGTGCTGGGTCTGAGTAGATCAGACACAGCAGTGTTGCCGGAGTTTTTAAACACCTCAGTGTCACTGCTGGACTGAGAATAGTCCACCAACCAAAATTATCCAGCCAACAGTGTCCTGTGGGCAGCATCCTGTGACCACTGATGAAGGACTAGAGGATGACCAACATAAACTGTGCAGCAGCAGATGAGCTATCGTCTCTGACTTTACATCTACGAGGTGGACTGACAAGGTAGGAGTGTCTGATAGAGTGGACAGTGAGTGGACACAGTGTTTAAAAACTCCAGCAGCACTGCTGTGTCTGATCCACTCGTACCAGCACAACACACACTAACACACCCACCACATCAGTGTTACTGCAGTGCTGAGAATGATCCACCACCCAAATAGTACCTGCTCTGTGAGTCCATGGGGGGCCTGACCACTGAAGAACAGGGTAAAAGGGGACTAACTAAGTATGCAGAGCAACAGATGGACTACAGTCTGTAACTGTAGAACTACACAGTGCACCAATTTCCAGGAGGTGGTCATAATGTTATGCCTGATCAGTGTGTAGTTATTTCTATGGTATATTTCATAGAACAGGATGAATATAACCGAGGTTGATTTCCATGTGATTTGTTTTATAGAATGAGTTTAATCCAACCTGAGGTTAATTCTATAGTTCACATTATAGCACAGGATTAATATCCCATGAAGAGTCTCTGCTTAAACGCTTATTGGATAGTAAAGGAATCTTAGCTCTTACCCCTGGAGATATCTTAGAGGGCTGGAGAATACAAAGCTGGAGTGCTGTGCATGAAAAAAAGTTCACAAAGATGAACATGTTTGATCACAGTTATCACAGTTTTAATCAAAGCCCTGAATGCCTGTAGCTCATGGCAGTCGTTTTAATTGCTATAATAATGTTAATGGTTTATATTTGAACTCACCTCCATCAAATAGAGCCAGAAAGGCCAGGATGAGGAAAGGAGAGCTTTTACCCACAAACTCATACATCACGCTTCCGAAAGGAGCGCCAACTGGAAAAGACACGCATATGCACAAAAAACACTTGTGATCTAGTAATGAGAGGATCTCTGGCTGTATTTATGACATTGTAATGAGTTTTAAAGGAACAGTCCAGCATTTTTAAGCCTAATCTCTGTCTGCTGCGTCTGTAACGTATGGTCAATTTCCATGGATGATCATTTTGAACTTAGAAACGAACAGAAGGCCCATTCGCTCAAAACATATCACCTGCAAATTGACTTGTATTATCTATATTATTGTATATATTATATTATATATTGTATATATATATTATATTATTGTATCTTTTTTAATATGCCACAGGTGCAGCGTATGCTGGAGTGTTCCTGTAATAGCTTTGGACAGGTCAGTCGCTCACTCAGTACACCCATGGCCAGTCCTCCCAGCGCTATACCCATGGCAATCCCTCGTTCATCATCGTCTGTGTACACACTGGCCAGCATGCCCAGTCCTACAGAGAACCACACACAGGTACATAAAAAGTTCAAAAGTTTGGAGACAAGGTTTTTCAGTAATTTTAAGCCTGCTTTGTTGCAAATACAGTACATACAGTGCATAAGTCAGAGACCACCCTTCATATATTTAACCCCTTAAATGGCCAGGGCCCACCAGCAGACACAAAGTTTTATTACACACTTCTATAAAATAAGAGTAGCTCAGCCAGTTTGCACTGAAGCCCCTGTAGTTACTGAATAATAAGCCTTAGTTTGTAATAAGCCTGAGATTTTAAGGGGTCAATTTCCAGTCAGCATAAAGAGCAGAAAGCATATATTTTTTTACAGAAATGTACACAGAAGCCTCAACAACGAAATATATATTTTTTTCTGTGTTTTGTCTGTCAAACTTTTGCTTTTCTTACAGCTTCTATGCTTCAATTTTCTAAGAAATATGTTATTTTTTCCACGTTTCCAAAGTTCAGTCTTAGAAGCTGGTTGATCATTTTCTGAAGTGATCAAACACATTCAGTGGTGTTGAGGTCTGGACTCTGGGGTGGTCAGTCCATCGTTGAGCTTCTTTGTTTGATGTGTCCGTCTCCTTTTCTCAGTGAGGTTCTTCTTCACAGCTACACATCCTTTCAGACCCACAGCACTGAGTCGTCTTCTCACAGTGGAAGGATGGACAGAAACACCTGTGGATGTTTTCAGATCTGAAGCAGCTTGATTTTCTCCTCTCTCTCAGAGATGAAAGCTTTAAGTGCTGTTTATCTGATGGGGGCAGTTCTGGTGTCTACCAGGTCTTCCAGGTGGTTGTTAGGAGGCACATTTTCTCTGGAGATTTTAATCATTTTCTTGAACTCCAGTTTTAGAAACTCATGTTTTACTTTCACTTTCTTTTCACCTTTTCCTTCCTTATGCAAATGGATTATCATATATCTAATCTCCTGAGAAATATCTCCTGAATTATGAATAACTGGTACATAACGGTCATTTTAACTAAATCAAATAAATGAAGAGTGGTCTTTTTTTCAGGCAGATAGCTGTAAATAGACAATCACGTTGTATTATTTATCATTGAACATAATTTGTCGATATGTATACAAGAAGACACACACACTCTCACAGTACCTGCAACAGAGGAGAAGGAGGAGCCGATGCCCTGAAGTGCACGAGCGAAAAAGAGCAAAGCGTACGTTCCTGAGAAAGCAAACACTGAGAAAACCAGACACAGACACTCACAGTTAGAGTCTATCTGATTACATCAGCTCTACAGCAGGTTATTAAAACAGATCACATTAAAACATTTAGACTACAGACTTACTTTCAGTTATTAATCTTAACACTTCTTATTTAGTAACAACTATAAATTATTCAATAACCACTATGAAACTGATCTGTGGTTATAAGAGTGAAGACCTACGTGTCCTCTCACACAGGTAGAGGACTTAAAGCAAACTTTCTATTTAAATGTGATTCCATTGATTTTTCAAAAATGCACAATTTAGTTGTTGAGATGTAAACATTCAGAGTGGTTTGATGTGAAATGGTTCACATCAAAGTAGTCCAGCACTAGACTTAATCCCTGTCCAGCCCATAGATAATTACCAAAAACACACATGGGACTTATTATGACATATAGATATTCACACACACACACACACACACACTCACACACACACATATATCACTGCTGTTGGAAAAAAGGTGACTTTACAGGACAAGGAAAAAGTTCTTAAATTTTAATGGAAGTAAATGGAGAAATATTTTATCCCCAAAAATGTTTTGGACTATTTCTGTTAGTCTGTTAATCATAAAGGTCCTTTTTCAGTTTTTGACATCATTTGAAAATGCCTGTTGTCCTTCACATTGTATGTAAATTTCATGATGAATGGACAGAAAGAAACAGCCCAAAATGACTTCGTTTTTTCCTTCTTCTGTAAAATTTCGACAGCAGTGATTCATTGTAAAGAAACTTATCAGCTCTTTACAGGTGGTGATAGAAACCAGGGGTCGCAATGTCTACAGCACAAATATAGCCATTATTTACTATCCAGAACCACCAGTGAACCTACACAAGTTCTTGTATGTAATCTAAAATAAATGTTGTTTGGGGATCATTTCGCCGTACGACTCTGTGGATGTACCTTTTTGCTATGGATGTATTTGCATTTATGTATTTGCATGTAATGCATTTTAGGGCAAAGACCTCTCAAAACAATGTCTCAGGCAACAACATCAATGCAATGGGAGATTTCTAGCTTTGGGGAATGAATTACTGTATGGAATGTAAACTTCGGTGAATATATCTATCATCACCGCTGTGAACAATTCTGACTCAGTACATTTCTCTACAATGGAGCATTTCACACTGAACCACTCTGGACGACTTTGTTTATACCGTAAGCGTTTAATTAGTCAGAAATTTCGAAAATTCTGTGGCATTCCCCTTTAAAAGTATTGACCCTGAACCACTGCCACTGCCATGTTCTACTTACTTATTGTGGAGGCAAACATTATGACAAAACCAGCAAACATTGGTGTGTGGTATCCAATCCTGGAAAAGAAAGATGATAATTTATTATAATATTATTAAATAAAGTCGGCACTTTTTGGTCAGAATACAGTTCTCAGGCTATTCCTAAAAACAAAATAAAAACAGTTTGGTTTGGCTTTATTTCCGTATTGTGTAAACAGTTCCTCCATTTATGTGTATTCACTATATTTTTTAAGTCGTATCAAAGTGATTGACTCTCACTGAACTGTGTGAGGGGTGGGAATTCATGATGCATTTAACTGTTTACCAAAGACTCTAAACTGAGTTTAACTGCTGTGAGAGATTTATATCCTCAAAGCCCTGTAAACACTGACTCAGTGGTCCCCAACAAAGGCCCACATTCAGCATTCAACACTCTCCATAGTGCGCCAGAACAAAAACTGATGAGCCCAATGAACAAGTAGGGATGAGAGAGAACTGTCTAGAACAGTGTAGGCATAGGAACATCTTAAAACAGTGTGAATGGAGAGGACATTCTAAAACACTGGATGGGGGAACATTCTAGATCAGGGTAAATGGGTAGAACATTCTAGAATCGTGTGGACAGGGGAATGTTCTAAAAGAGTTTGAATGGGGTAGAACATTCTAGAACAGTGTAAACAGGGTAGAACATTCTAGAATGGTGTAAACGGGGTAGATCATTCTAGAATGGTGTAAATGGGGTAGAACATTCTAGAACAGTGTAAATGGAGTAGGACATACTAAATGTGAATAGAGGAGAACACTCTAAAACTGTGAATGGGGTAGAGCATTCTAGAACAGTGTGAATGGGGTAGAACATTATAAAACAGTGAATGGAGTAGGACATACTAAATGTGAATAGAGGAGAACACTCTAAAACAGTGAATGGAGTAGAACATTCTAGAACAGTGTGAATGGGGTAGAACATGCTAGAACAGTGTGAATGGTGTAGAACATTCTAAAACAGCGTGAATGGGGTAGAACATTGTAAAATAGTGTGAATGGGGTAGAACATTCTAAAACAGTATGAAAGGGGTAGAACATGCTAGAACAGTGTGAATGGGGTAGAACTTTTTAGAACAGTGTGAATGGAGGAGAACATTGTAAAACAGAGTGAATGGAGTAGAACGTTCCAGAACAGTGTGAATTGGGTAGAACATTCTAGAACAGATTGAATGCAGTTAGAACATTTTAGAACAGTGTGAAGGGGGTAGGGTTTGTTGGTGTTTGTTGAGTTTGTTGGTGTTTGTTGGGTTTGTTGGGTTTGTTGGGTTTGTTGGGTTTGTTGGTGTTTGTTGGGTTTGTTGGGTTTGTTGGTGTTTGTTGGGTTTGTTGGTGTTTGTTGGGTTTTTTGGGTCTGTTGGTGTTTGTTGGGTTTGTTTGGTTTGTTGGTGTTTGGTTTGTTGGTGTTTGTTGGGTTTTTTGTTTTTTTTTGGGTTTGTTGGTGTTTGTTGGGTTTGTTGGGGTTTGTTGGTGTTTGTTGGGTTTGTTGGTGTTGGGTTTGTTGGTGTTTTTTGGGTTTGTTGGTGTTGGGTTTGTTGGTGTTTGTTGGAGTTTGTTGGTGTTTGTTGGGTTTGTTGGTGTTGGGTTTGTTGGTGTTTTTTGGGTTTGTTGGTGTTGGGTTTGTTGGTGTTTTTTGGGTTTGTTGGTGTTTGTTGGTGTTTTTTGGGTTTGTTGGTGTTTGTTGGGTTTGTTGGTGTTTTTTGGGTTTGTTGGTGTTTTGTTGGTGTTTGTTGGGTTTGTTGGGTTTTGTTGGGTTTGTTGGGTGTTGGTTTGTTGGGTTTGTTGGTGTTTATTGGGGTTTGTTGGGTTTGTTGGTGTTTGTTGATGTTTGTTGGTGTTTGTTGGTGTTTGTTGGGTTTGTTGGGTTTTTGTTGGGTTTGTTGGGGTTTGTTGGGTTTGTTGGTGTTTGTTGGGTTTGTTGGGTTTGTTGGGTTTGTTGGGTTTGTTGGTGTTTGTTGGGTTTGTTGGTGTTTGTTGGAGAACACTTGGTCATTGTCTCTGGGCTTAATGTTCACATGCATGTAAAAGGTCACACACTGAGGCTGAACACACCTGTTGGTCAGCGGACCCACAAACGGGTTGACCAGAAGCTGCACCAGAGCTTTAGAGGCAAACAGCAGTCCTACTCTCACGTTCTCCTCCTCCAGAAACTCACGGTCGTCTTTGCACTCAGATGAGCTGGAAGCGTTCCCATCCGGTGCTGATGCGGTCAGCGGAGGGGTGGACGGGCTGCTCAGGTTGCTGGGGGCCATTGTGAGGGTGTAGGCCGTGTTATCATAGAGGGAGAGAATGGAGGAGAAGGTTGGTTGTCCTGTGCTGGGAGGAGAGAGGGATGGGGAGGAGGAGAGGACACTTCCCTGGTGCTCTGTGTTGTACAGGAAGGTAGGGATGATGGGAACTGGAGTAAACGAGAGAGAAGATGATGATCAGCAGAGGAGATGATGATCAGGAGAGGAGATGATGATCAGCAGAGGAGATGATGATGTCAGTGTTTGTTGGTTTACAAAAATGTTCTGATAACTGAGGAAAGCCTGAGAAAACCAGGGGTCACCAACATTTTACAAAAGGGCAGAAACCACTTCTTTTGCCTCTTATTTTGTTCCCTGGACAGGGATTTATCCTAGTCATGGACTGAATCATCTCAATGGAAAGTCTCTATTCTAAATGATGAGTAGTCCAGCACTAGACTTAATCCCTGTCCAGCCCATAGATAATTACCAAAAACACACATGGGACTTATTATTATAACATATAGATACTCACACACACACACACACACACACACACACACACATATATCACTGCTGTTGGAAAAAAGGTGACTTTACAGGACAAGGAAAAAGTTCTTAAATTTTAATGGAAGTAAATGGAGAAATATTTTTTCCCCAAAAATGTTTTGGACTATTTCTGTTAGTCTGTTAATCATAAAGGTCCTTTTTCAGTTTTTGACATCATTTGAAAATGCCTGTTGTCCTTTACATTGTATGTAAATTTCATGATGAATGGACAGAAAGAAACAGCCCAAAATGACTTGACATTGAAAGTAAACTACGTTTTTTCCTTCTTCTGTAAAATTTCGACAGCAGTGATATTTATTTTTTGAGTTTAACATATTGGAAAAAAAAAGGAAAATATGTCATAACTTTTTCAGCAAATCTAACCAGGAGTGCCCCAATTTTGCACATGGCTGTATATGTAATATACATGGTACATTATACGTATTACATATAGGTATCTTATGAACCTGTGTCCTGACCTTGTATAAAAACAAGTTTATGTGTGTATTTGCATGCATTAGAGCTTGAAATATTTGTCTGAACCTGATGGGACACGACTATTCCCCCACTTTAGAGTAATTTAAACTTTGAATGCACCACATGGCAAAAGTATGTGGACATCTGAACATCACATCCATATTGGGTGGCTGGCAGCCTATAGCAGTATACAGTCCTGTTAACCTCAAATTGGCATTTCACTGAACTGCTTTAACTGAGTCCTCGAGGGCCCGTGCACATCCCTAGTATGTACATGACTTTGTGTGTGCGTCTGCCTCCTGTCAGCCCGCTGCAGTCTGTGTGTGTGAGAGTAGCAGTAGAGGTCAGAACAAACGTAGACAGTTAAATGTCAGATGCAGCGCAGGGTCAGTACCCTGAGCTTAATGTTACCCTCATCATTTGGACATAGAGTCCCTGTATTTCCACCTCCAGTCTATATTTTAAGGTCTAGGTGGATCTGTACTTTGTATTTGTATGTAATTATATATACATATATATACACAGACGTTTGTTCATTTGATGTTTGTTAATGACGCCTTTAGGGGGTGGCGGTGAGTGATGTTTATTTGATGTTAATGACGCCTTTAGAGAACGTCGGTGAGTGACGTTTGTTCATCTGATGTTTGTTGATGATGCCTTTAGAGGGTGGCGGTGAGTGACGTTTGTTCATCTGATGTTTGTTAATGACGCCTTTAGGGGGCGGCGGTGAGTGATGTTTGTTTATGTGATGTTTGTTAATGACGCCTTTAGGGGGCGGCGGTGAGTAACGTTTGTTTATGTGATGTTTGTTAATGACGCCTTTAGGGGGCGTCGGTGAGCAACGTTTGTTTATGTGATGTTTGTTAATGGCGCTTTTAAGGGGTGGCGGTGAGTAAGGTTTGTTTATGTGATGTTTGTTAATGACGCCTTTAGGGGGCGGCGGTGAGTAAGGTTTGTTTATGTGATGTTTGTTAATGACGCCTTTAGGGGGCGGCGGTGAGTAAGGTTTGTTTATTTGATGTTTGTTAATGACGCCTTTAGGGGGCGGCGGTGAGTAAGGTTTGTTTATGTGATGTTTGTTAATGACGCCTTTAGAGGGCGGCGGCGAGTAAGGTTTGTTTATGTGATGTTTGTTAATGACGCCTTTAGAGGGCGGCGGCGAGTAACGTTTGTTTATGTGATGTTTGTTAATGACGCCTTTAGGGGCGGCAGTGAGCGATGTTTGTTTATGTGATGTTTGTTAATGATGCCTTTAGGTGGCAGTGGTGAGTAAGGTTTGTTTATGTGATGTTTGTTAATGACACCTTTAGGGGGCGGCGGTGAGTAAGGTTTGTTTATGTGATGTTTGTTAATGACGCCTTTAGAGGGCGGCGGTAAGTAAGGTTCGTTTATGTGATGTTTGTTAATGACGCCTTTAGGGGGCGGCGGTGAGTAACGTTTGTTTATGTGATGTTTGTTAATGATGCCTTTAGAGGGCGGCGGTGAGTAAGGTTTGTTTATGTGATGTTTGTTAATGATGCCTTTAGAGGGCGGCGGTGAGTAACGTTTGTTTATGTGATATTTGTTAATGACGCCTTTAGAGGGCGTCGGTGAGCAGCGTTTGTTTATGTGATGTTTGTTAATGACGCTTTTAGGGGGCGTCGGTGAGCAACGTTTGTTTATTTGATGTTTGTTAATGACGCCTTTAGGGGGCGGCGGTGAGTAAGGTTTGTTTATGTGATGTTTGTTAATGACGCCTTTAGGGGGCGGCGGTGAGTAACGTTTGTTTATGTGATGTTTGTTAATGACGCCTTTAGAGGGCGGCGGTGAGCAGCGTTTGTTTATTTGATGTTTGTTAATGACGCCTTTAGAGGGCGGCGGTGAGTAACGTTTGTTTATGTGATGTTTGTTAATGACGCCTTTAGAGGGCGTCGGTGAGCAACGTTTGTTTATGTGATGTTTGTTAATGACGCCTTTAGGGGGCGGCGGTGAGTAACGTTTGTTTATGTGATGTTTGTTAATGACGCCTTTAGGGGGCGTCGGTGAGCAACGTTTGTTTATTTGATGTTTGTTAATGACGCCTTTAGAGGGCGGCGGTGAGTAACATTTGTTTATGTGATGTTTGTTAATGACGCCTTTAGAGGGCGTCGGTGAGTAACGTTTGTTTATGTGATGTTTGTTAATGACGCCTTTAGAGGGCGTCGGTGAGCAACGTTTGTTTATTTGATGTTTGTTAATGACGCCTTTAGGGGGCGGCGGTGAGTAAGGTTTGTTTATGTGATGTTTGTTAATGACGCCTTTAGAGGGCGGCGGTGAGTAACGGTTGTTTATGTGATGTTTGTTAATGATGCCTTTAGGGGGCGGCGGTGAGTAACGTTTGTTTATGTGATATTTGTTAATGACGCCTTTAGAGGGCGGCGGTGAGTAACGTTTGTTTATGTGATGTTTGTTAATGACGCCTTTAGAGGGCGGCGGTGAGTAACGTTTGTTTATGTGATGTTTGTTAATGACGCCTTTAGGGGGCGGCGGTGAGTAAGGTTTGTTTATGTGATATTTGTTAATGACGCCTTAAGGGGGCGGCGGTGAGCGATGGTCGTTTATGTGATGTTTGTTAATGACTCCTTTAAATTTGTTACTCTGTTAAATTATGTATAGTTTGTATTGGTCCCCGTCTGCGGACTCACCGACGACGGTCAACAGCATGTTATCCAGTAGCAGGGCCACACACACCACCACAAGCACAAGGCGGGGGGAGCCCCTGCTCTTCCTGATCCATTCCATAGGGTTCACCATGGCCATGTCCAAAACCAGTCACTGCACACACAAACACACTCGGTTACACACATCGCAACTCACACACTGTCGCATCACAGTGAGGAACACTGTCACAGTCTTGTCCCAACCTAGTAACAGAGACTCAACTATGATAGGATCAAGAGCTTTTTACTGTATTGTTCAGTTAGTATTGTTCATCCTTATTATCCAGTAACTACTGTAATGTATTCAGCATCTAATATGAAATACAAAAGTTCTGCAGCATTTAGGAAATAAAGTGGTTAAAAAAGCCTGAGTTCCAAATGAAACACATTCTCTTGCCTCTAAGCTGTTCTAAAAGGCTTGAAAGGTTTGATATGTGTTTCAGTGTAGAGCAGGTCATAGTGTGTACTTACTCCTGAGCATTTTTTTTTTCGGATGGGTTTACAACGTGAGAGATGTTTTATCGGTTTAGGATGTACATTGTGTTCCAGGGAAGCCAATTCAGTGTGTGATTGAGTTTCTGCAATAGAATTAGAGCTGTTGCAGGGCAAACTGCTTAGTTTCTCTGCCTTTGGAGGTTTGTTCAGTAAGACTGAACCCATTTCAGTCTGTAAAGAATTTCAATAGTAATAGCTCTGTTTGTGGAGCTTCTGCTGTAGCTTGTTATGTCAAGGTAAAGTATCTATCTATCTATCTATCTATCTAGATAGATAGATAGCTTGGTTATTCAAGTTATTCATTCAGCGCTTTGGATCTAAAAGGATGTGTAGCGGTCAGGAAGCCCTTACTGAGAAAAAAGAAATAGGCAAAAATGTAGAAATCAAACAAAGTTCTTTGGTGTTCTCTGAACAATGGTCTGACCACCCCAGAGTCCAGACCCCAACATCACTGAAAGTGTTTGGGATTATTTGGATAGAAACAGACAATTCAACCAGCTTCTAGGACTGAACTTTGGGGGTGTGTCTGCAGGTTTCTTTGAGAAACTGAAAGTGAGTCTCCTGAAAGGAATGGAAGCTGTAATAAAGGTAAAGAGTGACACACTGAGTACTAAAAAAGTTATATCGCTGTTGTCGGAAGAAAACCTCGTATCTCCAAAATGGCAACTTTAAAGAAGAGGAAAAAAACCTACATTACTTTTAATGTAAGTCAATGGAACCAGACATTTTACCAAGTCATTTTAGGCTGTTTCTTTTGGTCCAATCATCATGAAATTTACACACAATGTAAAGGGTAACAGGCATTTTCAAATTATGTCAAAAACTGAAAAATAAAAATGGAGATATGAGGTTTTCTTCTGACAGCAGCGACATGTAGCTGTTGAGGCTTCTGTGTAACTGACGGTTAAATATGTACATACATACATAATCATCTAAACCACTTATCCTTCTGGGTCGCGGTGGGGTGCTGGAGCCTATCCCAGCTGTCATTGGGCAGAAGGCAGGATACACCCTGGACAGGTCACCAGTCCATCGCAGGGCAGACAGACATACATATACAATCACGCACACATTCACACCTAGGGGCAATTCAGCATGTCCAATTGGCCTGACTGCATGTCTTTGGACTGTGGGAGGAAACCGGAGTACCCGGAGGAAACCCACGCAGACACGGGGAGAACAGGCAAACTCCACACAGAAATGACCCTGGTCACCGGCCGGGAATCGAACCCAGGCCATTCTCGCTGTGAGGCAGCGGCGCTGCTCCACTGCGCCACCGTGCCGTCCCCGCGGTTAAATATGTCTCATTCTTTTTTCCCAATGCTAAAAAATGAATAACTTAATGGCTGTTTTGACTCCAAATTACATAAATGAAGTGTGGTCTCTGATTTTTGCACAAAACTGCATCTACTTTTCTACATATTTATCCAGTGCTATCTGTCTTTTAGTCCGTCTGCACACTGATTTTAAATGAATGTTCTTTTCATTAAATCTTTGAACCGCTGGATGTTCCTCTGGTCTTTCATCAGCACGTCTTTTGTTCTGTTTTACAGAATTATTAGTGCTAATGCTAATGCTAACGGCTTCATTCATTTCTCTCCCACTGCCTCCCCCTCAGTCTCAATATCCGTGTGAAGCCGATGTCCTGTTGCTTTCGCAGAGGCTAATCATGGTGAGATGCTTCAGCTCCACCCCCCACAGAGGCAAACAGAGATAAGATGGTCCTTAATTTGTCAAATCAACACCCTTTCGCACCGATCAGGAACCGGAGAAGGACCACAGTGTCAACATCAATTACCACTCAGCTCAGGTAGGTAAATCCTGGTTAGCAAACACACATCCTACATACGGTTCTCTATGAGAACCAATCACTGTGTGGCACAAGAAGCTCATGGATCTGCCCAAAGAGCCTCACTGCTGAAAGAGCTGTAGTTTATAAAGTACAAAGTTCTTTAAGGGTTATGTAGTAAAGAACATGGTTCTATATAGAACCATAAACACTCAAAGAACCCTTTGTGTGGTTAAAGGTTCTTCAGATTGATGGCGAGTGTGTTTTACATTTTTGAAAAGGGTTCTATATAACATCAAAAAGGGTTCTTCTATTGATAAAGGCTTGACATCGTAGCAATAGAAAAACCTCTTTGGTGCTATATAGAACCCTTTTCAAAAAAGGTTCTATAGAGAACCATCTACAGCACATTCTCCATTAATCTAACAAATGCTTACATGATGCAAAGAACACTTGAAGCACGCAAAGGGTTCTTTGAGTGTTCGTGGTTCCATATAGAACCATTGTCTTTAATAAGAACCCTTGAAGAACCATCTTTTTAAGAATGTGGTTCTTTGCATGGTGAAAGGTTCTTCAGATCGATGGAGAGTGCATTTTATATGGTTCTATTTACAACCTTTTTGAAAATGGTTCTTTACAGCACCAAAAAGGGTTCTTCTATTGTTACAGGCTTGACATTGGAACAATAGAAGAACTCTTGTCAGTGCTATAAAGAACCATTTTCAAAAAGGTTCTATATAGAACCATCCACAGCACATTTTCCATCAATCTGAAGAACGCTTTCACGATGCAAAGAACTCTTTAATCATGCAAAGGGTTCTTTAAGTGTTCTATATAGAACCATTGTCTTTACTAAAGAACCCTTAAAGAACCTTCTTTTTTAAGAGTGTGGTTCTTTGCATGGTGAAATCGTTCTTCAGATTGATGGAAAATGTGTTGCCTATGGTTCCATATGGAACCTTTTAGAAAATGGTTCTTTATAGCACTAAAAAGAGTTCTGCTATTGTTACGATGTCAAACAGGGTTTTCTACTTAATCAGTGATGAATGATAAAAGAAGAATTTTACCATAATCAGGCTAAAACTGTGTTGATGGCACTTTTCTGTGTCCATCAAAGATCATATCACTAGTATTTGTGATACCAAAGCATTGAAGCTAATACTAATAACCACAAAAGCAAAGTTAAAGGTAAATATTAAAAGTGTTCAGTAAGAGCCTGATTGGTCAGCACTGATGTAGGCAGCCCTGTAGTCAATCTAGCCTGCATTTAATCACTGTCCAAAAAAAAAAAGTTGTTTTTTAAATTAATATTTCTCTTCATTGTTTCGGCTGCCCTTCATATTGTGTTAAAATCTAATGACTGGATCAGTAGAAATGCTCCAAAATTCCTTGTAATAAAATGTCTTTACATTAACTTACACTGAAAGTAAAGCATGCCTTGTCTTCTCCTGTAAAGTTGCCATTTTTGGAGATTCTTGTGTTTTTTTAGATGGCGATGATTTTTTTCAAGAGAGCAAAGTTTAAGGTTGAATTCCACCATTTTTTAAAACTCTGCATCATTCAGTGGCTGAGATTTAAGCGAAGTCGTTCAGAGTGGTTTGCTGTGAAGTGGTTCATTGTATAGAAACGTCTTTACAGCGGTGCTGATAGGAACCAGAGGTCACAATGTCTACAACACAATCACAGCCATGTTATTTACTATCCAAAATGACCAGAGAACCTACATCATAGTCTATGTGATGATTATAATGATAAAATAGTGGTGAATCTGAACATCTGTAATCTAAATGCTTTCTTCAATACTATAGAACACTCTGCCTGTGCCTCTCCATCATGAATGGATTTTTATACATTTTTCATGACTGTTTCTTGTCATAACGCTCTGTGAAGGAGCTTTTAGAGGCATTAAGATCCCCAGACATCTGGTTCCTATCACCACCACTGTGAACAGTTCTGGCTTGAACAGAGCATTTTACACCAAACCACTCTGAATGACTTTGTTTACATCTTAACCATTTCATTACTCTCTTTTAAAGCTTAATGAAGGAGATATCTGGATAGTAAGACTTGCACCCTCACTAATTTTGTATTAGTAAACAAACAAATTCATAAATCAGAAGGATATCTTACTTACAAAAGCATAAAAATATTCCAAAATCTCAGTATAAATGAAGTCAGCAACAGATTAATACAGTAATACATGGAGTAGTGCAGTAATGGCACTGTGGAAATGGTCTACAGGACAACTAAACTGGTCTTACCTCCACTTGCATGGTCTCGCAGTGTGTGTGTGTCCGAGGCAGGTGTGCCGTGTGCCAGGGGGCGGTCAGTAGTCTCCCGCTGGGCTCTATATGTATGTTCTGTTCGAGGTGGGAGGTGTCTGTGTCAACTATGCTCAGTTTAAAAGTCTCTGTAAAAGGCAGCCCTTAATAGGACCCACAGACACACTGCGTCAGAGGGAGAGTAATTGTCAGCATCTGCTGCTCTTTATTGGGTAGGTGAATGACCTGAAGGCTTCTGTTGGTCACGCGTTATCTTTAATATCACATTCACAATCAACAGCTGCTTCTCCAGTGCTTAGGTGCTTCACAAACAGCTCTGTGTGTTTCAGATACTGATGTGGAAAATAATCCTCACTCATTTTGTCCCTGTGGTGCTCCAATTTAAAAGAAATCAGTTCTTTAAGCTACATTGTTGATGTTTGATGTAAGCAGAGTATCACACCGAATGGGATAAAATGAATCAAAAAAATAGGACACTGGAAACAGAATATGAAATGAAATCATACCAGAGATACGACGCTAAATTTTTATTTATTTGCTAAGTCATTACATATATATATATATATATATATATATATATATATATATATATATATATAATATATATATATAATGACTTAGCAAATAATTAAAAATTGTATATATAATATATATATATACATATATATATACCAAACGTGCCATAATGTTTGCACAGGCAGACTCGTTTTATGTTTTACTTTTTTCTAATATGTTAAATTCAGCAAATATCCAGTAATTGTGGGGAAAGTTTTTCAGTCTGGTTCCATTGAATTACATTAAAAGTAAAGTCTGTTTTTTCCTTCTCCTGTACAGTTACCATTTTGGAGATACAAAGTTTTGTTTTGACAACAGCGAAACACACACACACACACACATATATATATATATAATATGTAATGTAATGTTATGTTATTTTTAGCAAATAAACAGTAGTTGTTAAAAAAGTGGAAGTGTTTTCTCTGTAGAAGCTACGCTAACTTATTTTCACCTAGAAAATCAATAAAACGTCATTTGTGAACAGTTCTGATCAGTCTGAATGACTCTTAACATCTTATCTGTTTAATTACTTATATATAAATGTTCTGTCTCGTTTGGACACTGAAGTGAGGCAGGTTCATTTCCTCCTAATTCATTCAGCCTGTGAGAAGCAGTGGAAAATGTTACATGACTCAACAAAGTTCACCTTTAGCCTTTGCCATTTCGGCGAGATCAAACAGCGAGCCTTACACACACATACATGGATTCAAACTGGAGATGGAACGATGCAGCTTCTTCTTTTCCCAACAGTGAAACCTTACACAGATTAAGAAATGTCTTCTTTCAAAAAAGATGACGTTTTAAAATGACATTTCTAACTGAAGTGCTTCAATTAATATGATCATTTAAAAATAGGCCATCATACTGAAACCCCTCAATCACTCTCTTAACCTAACAGGAAGAACCATCATCACGTAGTGTGAGTGAGTGCTGGAGACCTCCGATGTTGTGCATCATTCTGTAGTTGGTGTTTTGCCCATATTAAGAACAAGAAAGGTGTCCATTTTCCTCTAGAATGGATCTTTATGAAAGTAAGTCTAATATGAACTATTAGTTTGTGCAGCCAAACTAATTACATGCTCAAACTACGTTTTGTTTATTTTTTAATATCATGAAAATATCGTGTAAATACAGCAAATCTGTCTTATATGCTGTGCAAATATGCAAATAGCCATATATTTATTCCTACTCTCTCATACTTTACTCAGCTATCTATCTATCTATCTATCTATCTGTCTGTCTGTCTGTCTATCTATCTATCTATCTGTCTGTCTGTCTGTCTATCTATCTATCTGTCTGTCTGTCTGTCTGTCTGTTTATCTATCTATCTGTCTGTCTGTCTATCTGTCTATCTATCTATCTATCTGTCTGTCTGTCTGTCTATCTATCTATCTGTCTGTCTGTCTGTCTGTCTGTTTATCTATCTATCTGTCTGTCTGTCTATCTATCTATCTATCTATCTATCTGTCTGTCTGTCTGTCTATCTATCTATCTGTCTGTCTGTCTGTCTGTCTATCTATCTGTCTGTCTGTCTGTCTGTCTATCTATCTATCTGTCTGTCTGTCTATCTGTCTATCTATCTATCTATCTATCTATCTATCTATCTGTCTGTCTGTCTGTCTGTCTGTCTATCTATCTGTCTGTCTATCTATCTATCTATCTATCTATCTATCTATCTATCTATCTATCTATCTATCTATCTATCTGTCCGTCTGTCTGTCTGTCTATCTATCTATCTATCTATTTGTCTGTCTATCTATCTATTTATCTATCTATCTGTCTGTATCTATCTATCTATCTATCTATCTATCTATCTATTTGTCTGCCTATCTATCTGTCTATCTATCTATCTATCTATCTATCTATCTATCTATCTAACACATCTGCCAAATTTAATATATTAGGGGAAAAAGGTAAAGAAAAGAAAACGTGGCACATTTGATATTTTAGGTTCTATTTTTATGCTCATTTCAGTAAATAAACAGTAGCTGTGGCTGTTCAAACTTTTGCATATGACTATATTTACCAACACCAGCTACTCAAACTGAAGCTTTCTACTGCCATAACAGATTAGTTGCCATGTTTGAGAGTTTTCTGGTTTGTTTGGGTATTTTGGTGAGGTTGCCCGTCTTTTGATGTCTATTCAGTAGGCTGCAGTGTTAGCTTCCATGTAGCAGTATTCAGATTTTGGCACCTTAATGAGCTCATAAATCAGAGGATCCGAAAACATTCGGAGGAGAAAGGTGTGTAGAGCAAAACATAGCAGGACTGGAACACTTCTGTTCACCACGGGGCGCAACAGCAGCTATTTTCAAAAACGCCTTTCATTTTTCTCATAGAGAAAAAACAGCTTAGACCCGGAATTCCTAATATGGGAATAATGCTGATGATGGAATCACATACGATGGATCTTTTTCAGGATGGATTTGTTACAGGATTATATGGGATTCATCCTTTTTTCCCGCTGCAATGTCTGATCCAGCATTTTCTTCTGATATCAGCCCGAAACCCATGTTGAAATCTGTAATTATAACAGTATAAAGATTAATGTACATAAAAGGAGCGCTCGAAAAAGTATACACTAGACCACACTTCACCAAAAACACACACACTCACTTCACTCAGCAGGAACACACACACACACACACTCCTCTCTTTCCTATCTGATGGAGGTTGGCTTTTTATGCTGTGCCCTCAGGCTCTCTCTGTAGACTCTCTTCATCCATCACCTGCTCTCTGCTCAGCCTCTACATTATCTCTCTCTCTCTCACTCACTCACTCTCACACACACACACACACACACAATCAGCTCTGCACCAGCACACACACACTCACTGAGCACTGTATTGAGTACACCTCCTTGTTTCTACGCTCATTGTCCATTTTATCAGCTCCACTTACTATATAGGTGCACTTTGTAGTTCTACAGTTACAGACTGTAGTCCATCTGTTTCTCTGCATACTCTGTTAACCCACCTTTACCCTGCTCTTTAATGGTCAGGACCCCCACAGAGCAGGTACTATTTGGGTGGTGGATCATTCTCAGCACTGCAGTAATACTGACGTGGTGGTGGTGTGTTAGTGTGTGTTGTGCTGGTCGAGTGGATCAGACCCAGCAGTGCTGCTGGAGTTTTTAAACACTGTGTCCACTCACTGTCCACTCTATTAGACACTCCTACCTTGTCAGTCCACCTTGTAGTTGTAAAGTCAGAGACGATAGCTCATCTGCTGCTGCACAGTTTGTGTTGGTCATCCTCTAGTCCTTCATCAGTGGTCACAGGACACTGCCCACAGGACGCTGTTGGCTGGATATTTTTGGTTCTCAGTCCAGCAGTGACACTGAGGTGTTACAAAGCTCCAGCAGCACTGCTGTGTCTGATCTACTCAGACCAGCACAACACACACTAACACACCACCACCACCACCTGCTCTGTGGGGGTCCTGACCATTGAAGAACAGGGTAACTAAGTCTGCAGAGAAACAGATGGACTACAGTCTGTAACTGTAGAACTACAAAATGCTCCTATATAGTAAGTGGAGCTGATAAAATGGTAGGTGTACCTAATAAAGTGCTCAGTGAGTGTATAGACAGCACACGGAGGATGACCTTTGCAGCAGGGCAGCGGAAAGCTGTGAAACCTGCATTAAGGCCGTCAGTGCCTAAGCCTTTTCTCGCTCTTATGAATGGAAGGACACAGCGTTCCTATTCTGACTGTAAGTCAGTTAAGCCTCTGGTGTCTTTGAAGAAGCCTCTGTTTGTCCTGTTCGAACAAGTGCGTGTAGAAACGGGGCGCATGTGTAATTGCAGCTAACCCCTGCTGGGCTGCAGGCCGGAAAGCCCGACGTTTAGTGCACGTTTGATCAGGAAACGTGGTCTCGAGAGGAAACTTCCGTCGATGAACAATGACACTTTTCATCTCACCACGAAAATAATCTCGCCGAAGAAGAGGAAGGGGGGACTTACAGAGAGGGTTTCTTTTTTGTTGTTGTTTTTATGCATCAACAATACGGAATTAGACAGACAGCTTCAGACTCGTTTTGGTGAACTCTGTTTTTCATGAGTCGCTGTTTTTACGGATCTTTTATTATAACTGTTGTCGTTCTTAAATGGACGTTCTTTTGGTTCGATGTTTGTTATTAAGCTGTTATTATCTCTGTTTATTTTATCCCTACTATATTTTAGTTGTTCTTCTTTTTCTTCTACTTACTCCTTTTAATCATTGTATTGGCTACACAGACGCTATAAAAACATCATCATCATTATTTTTGTTATTATTATTATTAAATAAGCAGCTTTAAGAAACAGCCTTTATAATCTTTGTTGAATGAATTCTTGTATTTACTCAGTTTCTTTTATTTACTTATTCATTTCTATTATTCTCATTAGCTCTGTTTATTTTATCTCTACATTATGTTATTATGTTAATTTCATTCAACCCTATTTTTATCCGACAGTATAGTGTTCTTCTTTTTCTTCGACACCGTTCCAACTCCGAAATGTTCGGTCTGATCAGGAATAGTAGGCTGGTATTCAGCTTTTTGATTGTGCAATCATCATTAAATGATGGAAATTTTCCCATAGAAAAGAATGGGGTGCAAAGGTTTGTGCACCCAACACATGTTGATTCAAGTCCATTAGC